GGAATTGGTTCCCGCTGCTACCCGCGGCTAGCGCCGACGGCTTAGTTGGTTGTGAGCCGTCGGCGCTAGCCGCCGGTGAATCACGTTGTCGCTGTCTCGCTCATTCAATCCTCGCCCAGCACCGCCGCGAGGCGATCGCGCAGCTGCGCCCGCGCTCGGAAGAGCCGGCTCCTGACGGTGCCGATGGGGGCTCCGATCACTTCGGCGATCTGCTGGTAGTCCATGTCTTCGAACTCGCGGAGGACGATCACCTGACGGTGGTCCTCTTCGAGCTCGGCGATCGCGGCGTGCAGTAGCTCGGCGCGCTCGACTTGGACGGCCGGTTCGGTCGGGCCATCGGCCTCGGCGACGGGCTCAACGCCGCCCGACTCTTGAACAACGTTCAGCGACACCCGCGGTCGCCGTTTGCGGCTCTTGCTGATCGCTTGGTTGAACGCGATGCGGTAGATCCAGGTGTAGAACCGGCTGGAGCGTTGGAAGCTCGACAGCTTGAGGTACGCCTGGACGAAGGCCTCTTGGGCGACGTCTTCGGCCTCTTCGGCCGAGCCCGTCAGCCGCAACAGCGAGCCCCGCAACCGGTCTTGGTAGCGAGCGACCAGCTCGCCGTAAGCGGAAGACTGGCCCGAGAGCGCCCGGTCGATGAGGCGGTCGTCGATGGCTTGCTCGGCGTCGAGCGGCTTCGCGGCGTCTTGGTCGGACGTCGCACCCTCCCCGATGGCGCCGGCGAAGGCCGCGCCGAGGGCGTGCGACAGGGGGATCGATACGCTCGACAAGCCGTCGTTCTCGCGGTCGGAATCGTCGTCCTTGGGCGATTCGTCGGAAGGGGGTGGATCGGTCACGACGCTCCGCACAGCGAAGGAGAGAGCGGCGTCGTCAGCTGGGACGCCCCCCACGGGGGACAAGTTCCCAATGCCCGCCGCCGCAGGTTGAGACAGCGAGTAAAGCGAGACGCCGCAGTGGTTTACGGCAGCCGAATGGTTGAGTTTGGAAGGTCTACTGCCAATTTGGAACCGCCAAGACGCCTAGAGCGCCTAGGGTCGCCAGGGGGCATTAGACAGGATGAACAGGATTGGCGGGATGCTGTCGCTCATCCCGTTGATCCTGTAAATCCTGTCTAATTGATTGTTCTTGGCGATCCTTGGCGCTCTTGGCGACTTGGCGGTTCCTGCAATGAGCTCACTGGACTGGTTGTCGGAAGCCCTCGAGGGGCTCACCCAGGAGGGGCTGCGCCGGGAGCGGCGGGTTGGATCGGGGCTGCCGGCGGGGGCGATCGACTTTGGGTCGAACGACTACCTGGGCCTCGCCGGGGACCCGCGGCTCGCGCTGGCGGCTGCTGAGGCGTCCAAAAAGGGCCCTTGGGGGGCCGGGGCGAGTCCGGTGGTCTCGGGACGCAGTTCGCTCCACGACGAGCTAGAAAGGCGTCTGGCGGCCTTTGAAAGGGCCGAGGCTGCCATCGTCTTCCCCAGCGGAT